TCTTTCCCTTGAGTCATGGAATTTACCTCATTTTTACTGACTGTGTCAGCCAAAGCCAAGTGCTTTGCCTCCTCCCTCCTGCTCTCCTGCAGGAAGGGTTGGCCTGAAGGACCCAAATCAGCCATTTCACTTCTGCCACCATTTGCTTTAGGCTCCTCTGCCACCAGTGCAACGGGCCGGGGCACTTTGGTGACATCTGATGTGTTCTCCTGAAAACACTCAGCAGCAACACAGCCCCTCTCTCTGCTTTTCTCACAACCTTCCTGAGTTCTGTCAGTTCTACCAGGAAAGCTACTTGGCTCCATCTTTTGCTCAGGAAAAGGCTGCTGGAAAAAACTCCTTTCTCCTCTTTTACTTCTCCCATCACTACCCCTTTTTTTTGGCTTGTCTGCAGGATAAGCACGAGCAAGGTTGAGTGAGGGGTGTTCTCCTGCAGCCAACCCTCTGCCTTTCTCAGGGAAAGGTGTTTCTTTCACAGGCTCATCTGTCCTCAGGCCATCAGGCACTCTGCTTCCATCCTCCCAGGGCATCAGCTGCTCAGAGAAGCTTTTGAATTTTTTCACTTTCCCTTCACCACGCTTTTTTTTAGGTCTGTCCAGCCCACGTGCAGCACTGGGATCTCTTCCAGTCTGCTGCTCTAACGCAGTAAAGCCCTTCCCTTTGTTGTGGTCAGGGGACTCTGCCACCACCACTCTGTCCACTGCTTCAGCAGAGCTGGGATGTTTGGTTGCATCAGACTTTGCTGCCAGAAGAAAGGGCTGCTCTGAAACCCCACCAGCCTTTCTGGTCTGCAAAGCAGGAAGCTCCTTGGGTTGTGGTGAAGCTGGAACAGGCATTTTGGTGGGGTCTGCTGGAGTCTTCAACACCCCCTCTGCAGTACTGAGGTCAATGGCCATGCACTTATCAGAGGACACTGGCTGAGTTTCAGAAGCTGCCTTGGGCTGGTTGGGAAGCTTGTCCAAGGGGGCTGCAGCCTCCAGAAGAGCAGGATGCTTGAAGGATTCATTCTCAGCCCTTTGGCTTTTCTTCTTTGCTGCTGCCTCCAGTGACCCACTGGAAGTCTGAAGCTCAGGGTGGGCAGTGTCACGGAAGGCTTCACGCCTGGGAGATGTGCATTTAGCCTCCTTTTCCTTGCCAGGGAGGAGCAATTCTGGAGGTCTGGTCTCCAGAGGAGTTTCTGCTTTGCTTAGAGCGACTGCTTCCGAAGGAGATGGTGTCTGGTCAGCACCTCTGGGCTCCTTGCACTCCCTCTTCTCATTTTTATCAAGAAAATCTCTTTCACCAGGCTGGGTTGGCCCCTTTGCTGGAACAGGTTCTCCCACCTGAGCCTCTCCTACCTGCTGCAAAGGAACCTCTTTTCTTTTGCCTTTAGACTGCAACATCAAACCTTCATCTCTCCTTTCTCCTGTGCTCCTGACACCTCCATTTTTGGCATCCAAGACAGATTCTAAAGGTGTGCTGGGCTTCTGGGCCTGCTGTCCTGATGCTGGCACTGAGAGCACATTTTGCTCCTCCAGGATATGACTCCCTGGTCTTATTTTGGCCTCCTTTGGCACATGTGAAGCTCTGCTTCCTGAGGCTGGGGGCTGCTCTCTGCCAGCTCCAGCAGACACGACAGGACAGACATCTGGGTCTTGCGACTCAACAGCAAAGGGAGGATTTCTAGCAGCTCTTGAGACCGTCACATTTTCATCCCAGAACTCCATTGTCCTTGGCAGCTGGTTTCTCTTCTGTTTGGGTTTCTTTTTCTTTTTCTTCACAATGGCCAGAGAGCCTTCCAGCTCCCAGCTCTCCCTCAGGCCATCTCTGCAGCTCTGCACACACTCTGACCCCGCGCTGGATGGCTGCTCAGCTGCCTTGGTATGTGACACCCTGGTGCCAGGGGAGCTTCCAGCACCACATCCATGTTCCACTATGGAATAGGGATCTACTTTTGGGTCAGGACTCTTCTGGTGTGGGAGACCTACGAGACGTTCCTCTGGTACATCTGCAATAGGCACTGGAGCAGGTTTTGCTCTGCCAAACCTGCGCTCCCTTGATTTGTTAGCTTGCCTGATTTGTGCAGTGGGGAGACCTGGAATACAGGAAGCCTGCTCAAACATCGAGGCAACTACTTGCTTTAAAAAAAAAAATAAGTCAATATGCTATTTAAAGTGCATACATATAAGATTTTAGCCATCTAAAACAGTCCAGACAGTCACGTATGCAGATTTTCCAGCACCGACACCACCCTAATTCCAAAGCCACCTCAGCAGAGCTGGGATAGACATTTCCACACAAAGCCTGTTTAAACCACTACCCATAAATAAGTCAATGCTATTGAAAAAGCCACAGTCCCTGATACATGCTCTTACCCCACCGAAAAGCAACAGTTCTTGTGAGGACATGCTATTGCTTTTTAAAAATGCAGAAAGGATCCATTTTGTCTCAGCAAGACAAGCCAGGAGGGGCACTTTTTATATCTCTAGCTGGCATCCTTCCAAAGTGGGGGGAAAAAAATAGAAGTTGAGTGGAAAGATGAGACTCGGGAAGAGAGAAGGGGCTTGGTGGGGAAGGGGGAGCAGAGGAGCTGCGTGCCCCCCAGCACCCAGGGTGGGAGCAGCAGAAGGCAGAGCTGCTGGGCCCAGATGTGCTGGGCTCCCTTACAGGCAGCACCAGGTTTCCTCAGCTACAAGCCACTGGTTTTAGGGAGAGCCTCAGTCCTTTGTCAGAAAGGCCTGGCCCACAAATCAGCCTCCAGACACCAGTGTAAGCAAGAACAGCTCACAGGAGAGGCTGGGTTAGTGGAGCAGGAGGGGAAAAAAATAATAAATCACATTTTTCCTTTGGTAATTACAAAACTCAATTTGGAAGGAGGTCTGCACTAGGAATATTGTAATAAGAATTAATGGTCCTTTTTAATACCAGGATAAAAAGCTAGCAGTAATGGCAAAAAGATGGTGAGCTTTGAAATTCTACAGCAGAACAGCTATTAGCCAGGCCCAGTGATAAAGTACCAGCAGCACCAATATTTGGGTTTTTAGTCCAGTGAACATGGAAGGGAAAAGACTATTTAAGAGGGCAGGGATTAGAGGCAAAGTGCAAGGAGAATCACCGAGGAAAGCAAAGAACTGCAGAGCTGCCTGGTGCAAAAAGATTTCTGCTTGCTCAAGTGGCAAGGCAGCCAGCAGGAAAAGGTGAAAAGTTCCCAGAGGATATTGTCATTCTAAAATTGACTTATTGTTTATATTCTACCTGTGGGCTCTGGCAGGGTTTTTTCTTGCTGAGGTTCTGCGTGTTGAACATGGTTGTGTTCAGCCTCCTCCTTTTGTTTCTCTGTAACAGTGACATCCACAGTGGGAACAGGCTTTTCTGGAAGGTCTTTATTTTCTAGTGCAGCAGCTTCTTTTGCTTCTACTGCAACTGAAAGATGAGAAATATGCACAGAGTGTTTCAGTTTTTAGGAATCCAGGCAACCTGCAGTCTAAAAGCAAGCCTTAAAAAGGGTACAGGTTTGGGTGTTAGTAGGGATGAAGTTCATAAGATGGAGTAGCCTGCTGGGTATTATCTGCTCACAGCTTAAGCAGCAATTTTATATTCTGGCAGACACACCAAGGTGGAGGTAAAACAAGAAGCCAAGACTGGCCTGGGGCTTCAGCTCAGGGTGAAGGTTTGTTTGGGGTTTTTTGTCCCTCTTTGTAATCAACTGAATACAGACTATTCCAGCTTCCCACTGGAATTCAAATCCAGAATATGCTTTATTAGCAGCCTGGAGTCCCTGTCTAGTGCTCATCATCTAGTATTCATACCCACCTCAGCAGATATTAATGCAGACACTATAAAATGCCCAGCTACACATAATTGGCACATAGTTGGCATTTGTAAGACATAATTACATCAGGGAACAGTTCTAGATGTAATTAATTTTACTTAAATTTTAAATAGGTATAAAAATGATGGCAGACATTGGTATAGCTATGGATGAGGAAGAAAAAGACAAGTTATGTGATGGGAATTTCAGATGTGAAAACTCTCATCTTTGTAACAGCCCCCACATCTGCACACACCAAGAACCTGCTTGAAATTAACCATTTGTTGCTTTGTCCATGGTAAGGACAGGACAAGAGGGTCTGTGAGGAGGAACTTCAGTGGTGCGGCAGAATTAGCTCAAGCAAAGTGCTGGTTCCAGTTTTCTCCTGGGGTCTGCATTTCTCACCTGCTGGTTGTGAAAGGTGGTTTGTCTGCTCTGGAAGATGCTCCTGGTGCTGGTTGGGAGGTGCTCTGAGGTCTTTAGCTTTCTCTGAGGGATCAACACAAGATTCTGGGACTTTGGATTCCACATTTGCAGTTGCTTCTGCAAACAGAATATAAAGGATAAAAATTTGTATTATTTTAAATTTAGATCAGACGAAACGAGACAAAAATCACTTCCTCACCTAATCCTCATCTTCCACAAGAAATGAAAGGTTTTCCCCACTTTTAAAGCAGTGACAATCTGCCTTCTGGGATCACTTTCCCCCAGCTCTCCCCTCCTGAAAGTCTCAGTGTCCTGCAAAAACAAATCTTCCTGTGCTCCTGGGATTTACTCCTTCACTCGCCCACCTGTGCCCCCCAGTTACTACATCCTAGCAGGGTTTGGTTTTTCTGTTAAAACTTCTTTCTTTTGAAATTTATTCCTATCATTAAACTGAAGAGTATGAGAAATAAGAAAGAAAACATCCCACTCCAACTTTTCAATGAGAAATGTCACCAAATTATCAACAAATCTACCAGTCTCTTCAGAAACCATTTTGGAGACAAGAATCTTTGTTTGGAAACGTTAAGTCTCACAGGATCTGTGGAGATTTCAGTGTAAGTTGAGGATGAGAGTGAGACAAAACATAAGTACCAGCAGAGAGGAACTAAAATGTCTCTGGGACTGTCCTAAAAACCAAACATCACTGCTGAGAAAGCCAAGTAAAAAAAGAAATAATTAAAAAATCATTAAGATATTCTAGTTTTATATTTTATGAGCAATAAAACCTCATGAACCATTTCCTGTCTGTACCTTGACAGCAGAACTGAGCTCTACTTCAGATGTGTTTGGTTTTCCCCCTGTGCTGGGCACTGGGGAGGGGGCACCTGGAATGCTGGGCTCAGGTCTGGGCCCCTCAGGACAAGGAGGACATGGAAGGGCTGGAGCGTGTCCAGAGAAGGGCAAGGGAGCTGGGGAAGGGGCTGGAGCACAAGTGTGAGCAGGAGCAGCTGAGGGAGCTGGGGGTGTCCAGCCTGGAGCAAAGGAGGCTGAGGGGAGACCTGCTGGCTCTGCAGCTGCCTGAGAGGAGGTTGGAGCCAGGGGGGTCGGGCTCTGCTCCCCAGGAACAAGGGATGGGACAAGAGGAACCGGCCTCAAGTTGTGCCAGGGGAGGTGGAGGTTGGATCTGGGGAACAATTCCTGCCTGCCAAGGGTTGTCAGGGCCTGGCCCAGGCTGCCCAGGGCAGGGGGGGAGTCCCCATCCCTGGAGGGGTTTCCAAGCCCTGGAGATGGTGCTGAGGGACATGGGGCAGGGCTGGCCTTGGCAGGGCTGGGGGAATGGGTGGACTGGGTGACCTTAAAGGTCTTTTCCAGCCCAAACAATTCTATGATCCTATAACCTGAACTACTAAAAAATAACATTGATGACAATTCTGTATCTGTGTGGCCACCACCAAGTGCTACCAGGAGTGTTGCTCAAAGTGCTGTGCCAACCCAGGGCCTCCTCACCCCCCTTGTTATTTCAAGCCTGAACAAAGCTTTTGGGCAGGCATGCTCACCTGCAGGAGACTTGTCAATGGGTGACTTCTGCTGATCAAGAGGAGACTCAGATGCCACCAGCCCTTCGGATGCAGCACCCTTGGTGTCAGCTGCAGGGACAGACTTGGTTTCTGCAGAGGCAAACCCAGGTTCCACAGCAGGGAGAGGCTTGGCTTCCACCACAGGAGCAAACCCAGAATCCATAGCATGATGATGGTTGACTTCTGCTGCTGGGGCAAACTCAGCATCTGCTGCTGCTGGAGCAACCTCAGAGTCCATGGTGTGGTGAGATTTAGTATCTGCTGCTGGGGTAAAGGCCAAATCCACACCCTGGGGAGATTTGGTATCTGCTGCAGGGACAGACTCAGACCCCAGAGCATGATGAGGTTCTGCATCTGCTGCGGGGGCAAAGGCCAAATCCATCCCATGGGGAGGTGCTGTGTCTGCTGCTGGGGCAAACCCTGCATCTTCTGCTGGAGAAAACTCCAAATCTGCCCCATAATGGGACGTGGCATCTGCTGCTGGGGTGAAGCCAGGACCTGCCACTGGGGTGGATGCAGCATTGACAGCATGAGGAGCCTTGGCTTCTGGTGCAGGAGCAAACCCAACATCCACAGTCTGGAAAGGGTTGGTTTCTGCTGGAGGGACACATCCAGCATCCAGAGCTTGAGGAGGCTTGGTGTCTGCTGCAAGAATGGACCCAGGTTTTTCTGCAGGAAGGGACAGGCCACCCAAGGCAGGAACACATGCTGCATCTGCTGCAGAAACACACATCATGGAAATCAACATTTCACAGATACTCAATCAAATTTCACAGAATGGTTTGGACTGGAAGGAACCTTAAAGATCATCTAGATCCAACCCCCTGCCATGGGCAGGGACACCTCCCACCAGACCAGGGTACTCCAAGCCCCATCCAACCTGCCTGTAACACTCCCAGGGGCGGGGCAGCCACAAAATGCAGAGTGTAAATACCTGACAGCAGTTTGATGACCAGAGAAGATGGGGCTTTCACTCCTTGTCTTTCAGCCTCACTTACTACCCCCTTAGGCCAGTGCACTGAGTTGTGCTACTTGTGACAGTGCTCAGTGCATCCAAGTGCTTTTCCTTCTACAGCCTCAGGTGCCTCGTTTTGTCTCCTTGACTGCAGTGTTAGACATGTCTCCAACATAGGGAGGACATGGAGCTCCTGGAGAGAGTCCAGAGGAGGCCATGGAGATGCTGGGAGGGCTGGAGCAGCTCTGCTCTGGAGCCAGGCTGGGAGAGTTGGGGTGTTCAGCCTGGAGAAGAGAAGGCTCCAGGGAGACCTGAGAGCAGCTTCCAGTGCCTGAAGGGGCTCCAGGAAAGCTGGGGAGGGGCTTGGGACAAGGGCAGGGAGGGATGGGAGCAGGGGGAAGGGTTTCCAGCTGGCAGAGGGAGCTGGAGATGAGATGGGAGGGAGAAATTGTGTGCTGTGAGGGTGGGGAGAGCCTGGCCCAGGTTGCCCAGGGAAGCTGTGGCTGCCCCATCCCTGGCAGTGTTGAAGGGCAGGTTGGATGGGGCTTGGAGCAGCCTGGGCTGCTGGGAGGTGTCCCTGCCCATGGCAGGGGGGGGACTGGATGGGTTTTTAGGTCTCTTCCATCTCTTCTATGGCAGGAAGGTGGAACCAGATGATCTTGAAAGTCCTTTCCAACCCAAACCATCCTCTTAACCCATGAAATACTGTTCCTGCTGCTCCTGGTGGGATGGTGCTGCAGCCAGTGCCACTCCTGGCACAGAAGACACTGTTATCCAGGGAACCACCAACTGCCCTTTATTCTTTCATGCCCAACTTGGCCTCGTGCATGTTTCACATCCCAGCTCCTGCCCACCACGCTGTTAGCTCCAAAATAACATCTGTCAGTTCACAGCACAATCAAACCCCTGCCGTTCAGTTCCCATCTTCACAAAAACCCCTTAAAGGAGCTTTTTCAGTCAGTTTTAGTTTCATATCCCCAGTGTCTAGAGGCAAGTCCTTGCAGATGATCACAGGCCAGAAGCTGCAGATTTCTGTCCTGCAGTTCTGAGCCCCAGCAGCCCCAGGTCCTGCCCGCACAGTCACCTCAGCCTCCCCACACACTGCTGGGGAGATGCTGAAAAAACACACTAAATTTCTACTGACTGTTTAGGTCACATCTAAAAATATCCTCCCCAAACAATGGAAAAGACATTAAACCTTAAATTAGATACTTAAACTGAACGTGGAAAGAAATTAGAAAAATGGAAGAAGCCTGTTTTATAACAGCACCATCAATGCTCCAGGGACCCCAACCGAAAGACCCACCGTGTGCTGGGCCTTGTTTTGCCTCTTTTATTTCTTCTTTGATTTGAAGTGATATTATGAGTCTCTTCAAAATAAAATGTAAAGATTGGGATTTTACAGAAGAGTAAGAGAGTAAGGAATAGATATCAAAAGCAGTCTGGCTGCTGGGTGGTGAATCACAGGAAGCCTTGAATATAGCACACAGCAAGGGGGCAAAGACTGGTGCAAAATGTCTTCATAATGTCTTTATAACAGGGAATTCTTAAGGGATTTCTGTACAGTATCAGCCTCCTGGTACAGCCATCTTCTGGAAACACCTTAACATTGTTCTGGAGCCAAAATGTTGAGAAAGGAAAGAATGACTGAATTAGACACTGGACTGTGACAGTAGGGCTGAGGAGCAGAGCAGACTTGTTCTTCCTCAGCAAGACAATGCAGGGATCAGAATCCTCCAGCCACACTGGAATCTGTTAGTGCCTTCCTGTGTTTCCTTCTGGAAAGGCAACTCCAATTGTTCCACCACTACAGCTTGCTCAGAAGGGCCTAAACCCAGCACCAGCTTTTAGCCTGAAGCAACATTACCTGATGTTGCACCTTCTGGTCCATCAGCAGCTTCGGGCTCTCCTGGAGATGCTGTCCCTGCAGCAGGAGGGAAAGCAGGAGCCACAGCTACAGGGCTTCCTGGGAAGTGGGGTTTCATTGCTTCAGTCATTGTGGGGGGCACTGGGCAGAGAAAATGCAGTTTGGTTAAGCCCTCAGAAAGGTCTCAGCAAACCACTTTCCCATCTGGAGTTGTCAGGATGTGAATCACCCTCTCCAAGTGTGTCTGCAGCAACAACCCACATGAGTCAGCTCCCCCACTCCAGCATCCCCCTCGGGTTGGACAACAGCACTGGGTTTTATCTCTCATTTTCAGAAAGTTGGTGCAACTCCCAGGAAAACACTTGTATCTGGAGAGAAGCTACTGCCACGAGCAAGCTGAGAATCCAGTTACAAAGCAGCCAAGTTCCACCCCGAGCCCTAGGGAGAGCCACCACCTCCAGAACCACTTCCTACCTGGGACCAGTGTCAAACTGCCCTCTGCACAGCTTGTTCACCAAAACTGCCAATAAAAAGCCCATTATGGACCAAGTATCACACTAGCATCAGAGAATCATGGAATGGTTTGGGTGGAAAGGGACCGTAGGGTCATCTAGTTCCAACCCCCTGCCATGGGCAGGGACACCTCCCAGCAGCCCAGGCTGCTCCAAGCCCCATCCAACCTGCCCTTCAACACCCCCAGGGATGGGGCAGCCACAGCTTCCCTGGGCAACCTGGGCCAGGCTCTCCCCACCCTCACAGCACACAATTTCTCCCTCCCATCTCAGCTCCAGCTCCCTCTGCCAGCTGGAAACCCTTCCCCCTGCTCCCATCCCTCCCTGCCCTTGTCCCAAGCCCCTCCCCAGCTTTCCTGGAGCCCCTTCAGGCACTGGAAGCTGCTCTCAGGTCTCCCTGGAGCCTTCTCTTCTCCAGGCTGAACACCCCAACTCTCCCAGCCTGGCTCCAGAGCAGAGCTGCTCCAGCACTCCCATCATCTCCGGGGCCTCCTGGACTCTCTCCAACAGCTCCATGTCCTTGTTTTGGGGAGCCCAGAGCTGGACACAGAGCTCCAGATACACAACAGAATCATGCCTGGAGCTCCAAAGATCTAACTGTCACCAGAAGCTAAAGACCATCAGACAGAATACACAGGTTTGCAATTAGAATTTAATTTAAAATTCTGCTGACTGTGCATGAGCCAAAATTCCACTGGTTGGTGCCCTCAGCTGCACCAGCCCTTAGAAGCAGGAACCACGAGTGCTCTGACTTAGCACTCAAGTCAGGAGCTTTGTCTCTCAGTGTGCACTGGAATCCTTGTCAGCAGTAAAATCCCAGTTTCAGAGCTCCTTTTAATGAGTAGATTTTATACACTCTGTTTATTATTTTATTATTTATTCCATAGGATGTTATTTTAAACCTATCATATATCCATGTAGATATAATTGTATTATGTATCTGATGATTATGTTGGTGCCAAGGCATGGAACACACAGCCCAGCTGGCAATGAAGGTATCTTCACTCTCATGGGGGTGCACAGAATGGAGACCCAGCCTGGAATCCACAGAGTTTACTACTGAAAGGTTTTTTTTGTTCACATCTGCTAACTTAGTTTCCCAAACCCATGACAGGACAGGTTTGCAGTGGGTTACAGCCCTGCTACCCAACACGGCCCCAGAGGACACGTCACTAATCCCTGCTGATACTTGGGCCTGGAACTGCATAAATTACATTTGCTGCCCTAAACGAGAAATGAACAGGCTCTACAGCTGCAGGGTTCTCCCCATCTCTTCCAGCACTAAACCACAAAGTGTGTGGTAACATCCCCCTCCAACATACATTTCTCTTCTAAATTGATTTGAGAACCAGAAACAGTGTTTTTCTTGGCCAGGTCCCACTTCACTCCATCCCTGCCTTTTGTTTCTTGGAAAGTCACATGAGAGGAGAAACTGCTGCTGCTGCTCAGGAGCTCCAAGGACAGTTCCTACAGATCAATTAAAAACTGTTTTTACCTGGTGGCTCACCAAAGAAAGAGGCATCTGGTCCCTTCACATCATGCTGAGCTCCCATCCAATGTTCTTCAGGCACTGGGAAACAAACACATTGAGTCTTGTCACTGCCACAACCCCTGCTTTAGTTCCTCAGTTGAAGGTATCGACTCAGCTGTTTGGTAGGTTCATTCTCAGGTAACTTCCAGTTCCCTTTGAGAATGGTACTAGAACACCATGTTCTTCTGTGATTACTGCTAGGGAAAGCTTGCATCAGAGGAGAGCCTCAACCAGCACTGACCCCAGGACCCAAGAGAGAAGGTTCTTTTTTCAGTTCTTCCTGGCATCTGGCTCTAGGTGGCCCTCCCTGAGCAGGGGGGTTGGACAAGATGACCTCCAGAGTTCCCTTCCAACCTCAGAACATTCTGTCATCTCCTAACATCTTCAGAACATTCACACTGAACCCAGAACTCTCAATGCCAATAGGATACTTTCTAATCCTGACTCATTTTACTTACCAACTCCTCCACCAAGATCCTCTAGGACCAGGAAACCAAGATTTTCCAGCTGCAGAGCCCTCAGACCCAGCTAGCAAGACAGACAGCAACAGCAACCATCTCTTTCTCACCTGCTTGTTCTTGCAGAAATTCTGCAGTTGAATCCAGGCCAATGAAGGCTGATGGGTCTAGAGCTTCTGCAGGAGCATAGAAGGACCCCAAGAATGGTTGTTCAGGTACCATCATGGATCCATGTGGTGCTAATGAAATAAAAGGCCTTTTGTTAATCCCCAGGCTGGCCCTAACAACCCCCCTCCCAGATGTGAACTCTGTACAACCCTTGGAAAATGAACCTTTCTCTTCTGCTCACAAGCACTTCAGATGAAGTTTGCAAGCAGCTCTGGGTTCACTGACCTTCACAAACTGCACTGACAGTTTTCTGTGCAGACACAGGTTGTAACAAGGTGTAAGACAGGAAGCACAGGCTTGCCAGTTTTTTCTTACTTACAAGTTCTTCCCCCTTTGCTTTCTGCTTCTGCTCCCATCAATTCTTGTTAATAACTGCTCAAACTTCAGCAGGCCAAACACTGAAGACCACTTTGTGGGCAAAGTCCATGTGTATTTGGTTTCTAGCCATGAAGACAAGACATTGGTAACTCCTGCTTCAACTGAACTTGTCTAGATGTCCTAACTCCATCTGCCTAAGTTCACTTCAAATAAACCTTCCTGGCAGTAGCTATTGAAATGGCTTTAGGCACTACTGAAAAAAATCATGGGAAGAGATTATAGTCTGTGCACTTAGCAGCTTAGTATTGTTCATTACATGAAAGTCAACAGAAGAAACACCAAAACATGACCATCAGGGACAAATGCTGAGGACAAACTCACCATGCATGTCCCTGGAAGCATCAATGTGGCCCGGGAACAGCGGCACACTCTGCATGTCA